GAGAGAGTTGACATACCTAGTGTGGATTGCACGGCCGGATTGTCAAAAGAGGGAATTTCCTTAACACCCAAATCGTCGATGTCCTCACTCGTGTCGAGAGGTTGCGTACCGTCATAAACGAGAGTGAGGCCCATCTCTTTCAAGGAGGCAAACCTATCGACCATAGCTCGAAATTCTCCCTCTAACCGAGTACTCTCCCGAATAATCCTCGCCAATAGAGAACAATACCTACCAAGCGAACTGTGAGAGGCATCCAAATCAAGAAAAAAGACAACGGTAGAGTCGAACTTCGTGAGTGTGATTTGCAGAACGGATGGAATGGGAATGCTCTTCCAACTATGAAACTCCTCAATGATCGACATGAGGCTCGCAAGTGCCTCTTGAGTGCTCGTCAAAACATCTCGGTGACGTTCGATAGGCTCAACCATTATTGGAATTGAAGCTTCGGAACCCAATGTACAAGGTTGGCCAACCGATAGGTGCTTATACGATGTAGAGGATGGAGCAATGGACTCGGTTTCTTCTTTTTCGGATATGGGAGCCATTGAAGCGCGAAGAGATTGATTGCACTTCTCCAAATGCTCCATAATCTCGTCTAAACGGCTTGGAGAAGCTTCTCGAGTCGGCTTGGGTGGAAGTGTGGCATCACAATAATTGGAAGGCGGTGGATAGTAATGAGGTGTCTCGTCATGACCCGGAGAGTAATAATCAAAATCAACTTGAGATGGTGGGTAAAAATGGCTCGGATACGGATAGGGCGGCCCTCCATACGAGTACATCTCCTCATGGTAGTTGTCGGGGTATCCACGAGACGAGCTACCGACATAAGCATAGCCGTATGGATCCATCGGAGCTCCTCAAGCGAAGTACCTCGCACAAGAAAAGCAAAACAACCAAGGCACACGAGACCAAGAAACAAAAAACACAAAAATAAAACTAAAACGACACAATATGTACAAGAACACACATAGAAAAAAGCAAGAGAAACAGAAAATAAGCAAATAATCAAGAGAAACACGCAAAATCAAGAAAAATCAACAAAAAGCAAGAGAAACACGGAAACAAACGACAACTAGATAGCAAACTTCGCGTCCTACTCGCCTTCCCCGGCAACGGCGCCATTTTGTTTGTAGTATTTTTGGGCATGTGGTAACCGAGCTACCCGACTCGGGTCGTTCTCAAAGGAAGGCTGTTCGGTGCTTCGTCACTACCTAGTCGTCAAAGTCACATAACCGAAAATAGGGTCCTAAACATTCTACTCGCTTGAAGGGATTGGATTTGCATGAAATTAAACTAAGAATTTAGAGCAAATGATGAAAGATGCAACTATAGAGAGAAAAATAGAAACTTTGGTCTACCGGAATCTCCATGACTAAAGAAAAAGAAAAATAAACAAGAGAAAACATACGAGCATAGTGATCCTAGGTCATCTAATACGATCCTTCAACACTAGATCATCACGCTTTTAGCAAAGTCGAGATCTCCACACAAGATAAGCACATATAGATTCCTAACACACGTAAGCAAGTAATAAAAATAAAGAAAAACCAAGAAACGAGCATAAACACACAATTCGAAAGACAAAGTCGAAGTAGTGAGGCCTAAGCAAGGTACCTACTCTCCCATAGCATGCTCGGACGAAAATAGTGAATAAAGCTCGAAACTTGAATGAAAATAAACTTGCCGGAATTTCGCCGGAAAAATAGTCATGAACCTCCCAACCAAAGCATAAAAAAAAAAGAAAAGAGGAGAGAGAAGAGAGAAAATGGAGAGGATTTCCCAACTTAAAAGTTGGGAAATGAGGGTTGTTCCCAAAATTACAAAGCACAATGTCTTTATATAGCTACACCACAAACACACACTAAAAACACGCACATTTAGTAAAACACTCTCGAGGTCGCGGGTATTTCCGCTGGTCGCGGGCACGAGTGGCACTGATGCGGGCGCGGGGAGGCACGGGCGCGGCACGAGGAAATGTGGCACTCTCGACCTCGCGGAAGGATTCGCGCGCGCGGGGCGCGCTGGGAGCGACACTCGCGACCTCGCCATGAAGTTCGCGCACGCGGGGCGCGCTGGGAAAGGGCACTCGCGAGCTCGCGGGCAGATTCGCGGGCGCGAAGGGAAAGAACTCGCGGGCAAGGGCGCACTTAATCATGAAACTCGTGACGCAGCTGGATTTCGCGGGCGCGAAGGCGGAAACTCGCGGGCACTGGGCGACTCGCGGGCTAAGGGCATTTTGCGGGCTCGAATCCTGAAATTCGCGGGCAGACTTGATACTCGATTCGCTCTAATTTCTCGCACGCTTCTCCGATTGACTCGAAACTTTGACCCACGCTCCTCAAATCTTTCTCTCTTCGTCATGGAATGCTCAAATCGATATCACAACGCACTTAATATATATGCTCGGAAATGGTTCGTGTGGCTCGAACATAGGACGGCTCGGAAATATCTCAGAAATGGCTCGTCTTCCCAAACTCAACTATTGTGGACCTGCACAACACCAAAAATACAAGAAAAGTACGCCGAACCACAAAAATACTATACGAGAATAAAAATGCACGAAACACGATAAAATAGACCGGTTGACACTAAAACGGACCTAAAAATACTAAACTCAAGCACATAAAACACACGAAAATAAGCACAAAAACACAATAAACAACGGAGGTTATCAGCCACTTGCCGAGCGGGAGAAGTGTGGTGTAAGTGTTCATAATTTGTGGTTTATTATTATTATTATTATTATTATTATTATTATTATTATTATTTTCATACTAATTACTTTGAATTTAATTTTCAGGCTAGCGCCATAGAAGGGGCTTTAAACTCGTTAGCGAGTCTTGAACACATGTTTCACACATTCTCTCCAGAGGCGCAGGCCGCAATTCGGCAGTCCCAGAACTTTCTCTACACTTCTCTGACTGTTGGAGGCCAAGAGCTCACACAAGGGACGTCGTCGAGCCAAGTTCTATCGCAGGAGAGCTACGTCCGATCCTAGAGGACGCAGTCACACCGGGCGAGGCATCAACCTGCTGCCCACATTGATGGAGGTAGAAGACGACGTGACCGCGAACCCGCTGCCGACACCGGGCCTAAGGAAGAAGAAGAAGGTGAGAATTTTTTTACTTAACAAAAAAATAATTTTATTTATTTATTGTCCAGTCGAATTTGTGATTTTTTTAAAAAATGAATTACTCAGGCGAAGAAGAAGAAGCTGCCATGCCTGTCATGACCACAGCCTCGTCTTCACAGCGTCGGATGGGCTCCCGAAACCGCAAACCTAGGGAACCTTACACTCCTAGTTAGGCTTCGAATGTATTCGAGAATTTTGTGGACATATTTGTCTTTTTCTGGTGGATTATGTGTACTGATATTTGGACATATTTTTTATTTTGAATAAATTATTGTGGTTGACTTTTTGTATATAGTGTATGTTTGATTATCATTTAGCGAATTGATTCATATTAATTGGTTGAACAGGTTGTGATTGGTTGAACAGGTTGTGAAATGGATCCGAAAAATAATCTATTTTTATTTTTCTGCAGAGTAAAACGTATTCCAGGAATACGTTTTATGCAGAAATTCAATTTAGGGCAAAATTGAATTGGGGCAAAAATCAATTTGGGGAAAAATTGATTTTTTAGGGGTGGGCGCGGTCCGGGACGGTCTGGGATTTGACCTATCCCAGTACCTGTCTCCTTTTCTTGAACCGGGACGAGACACCGTCCCAAACAGATCGGTGTCAATCGATACCGGGACAAAACGGTTCAGGACCGATACAAAACAGATTAAAAAAAAATTCTAACTGATTTACTTAAAACGATTTATATAACACATTGTCCGATACATTGATTCCATATCCATTCAAGCAAATCAATCAAGCATTCACTCAAAGTCTTAAACCACTGCTTCCAAAGTTCACTTACACCAAATAGTAAATACATTTTGATTCCATTAAGTACTGATTGATATGATTCACTTAAACAACATCAAATGTCTAAATTAACTACTCTTTTGTTTTAAGACTATTTAATTTAGATAATTACAAATACTACAAAACATGTTTGCCTGAACTGAAAGTATTGTTAATTTTTTACTATAATGTACTAACGTAAATACAATAATAATAATAATGTATATTTTATATCATATTTTTGTACAAATAAAATACAAAGGTACAAACGGGACAGTTTGGGAGAAAAATATTCGAAACCGACACAACATTGTTTCAAATGGTTCGGTACCGGGAACGGTACAAAAATTTAAAAACCCGTTTGGAACCCTATTTTTTGGAACGGGAACATTTCGGTCCGGTTCGCTACCGGGAAATTCAATTTTTTTGCCCGCTCCTATAATTTTTAAAGAAAAACGTATTTACAAAATACATTTTATGTTTTGGATTGGGGCAAAAATCAATTTGGGGGAAAATTGATTTTTAGAGAAAAACGTATTTAGAAAATCGTTTTATGTTTTGAAAAATTATTTTCTGCAAAAAAATTATTTTTAAGAATTCTAAAATTTATTTTATTTATAAAACGCATTTCAAGAATGCATTTTATAATTAAAACATAATTTTAAAATTAATTTTAATTATAAAACGTATTTCAATAATGCGTGTTGTTTTTTTAAGTTAAAACGTATTTTTAATATACGTTTTCATTTAATTTAATTAACTTAATTACGTTATTTAATCATTTTCAACTAAATCGTATTGGTTGAATACGTTTTTTTTTCTTTAAAACGTATTTGCTTAATACGTTTTCTAATGAAAAACGTATTTCAGAATCCGTGCTTTTTATTTTTGTCCACTCCTTTTTTTTGTCCACTTATTTTTTTTTTTATTTTTTAATAAATAAAAAATTCACACCACACGTCTACGACCTCTTTACCAACAAAGGCAAAAGAAAATAGAAAAGTAGAACTTATTAATTAATAAGACAAATAAAACAGTAGTAACAAGCAAACCACACATTGTTTATGAGTATTATTATTTTTCACTCTCAAGACCACCTATTAGCAACCCTAACCTTCAAACCATTCTTCATGTAGAGTATAATCGAACAATTAGGCTCCACGCCGTGTCCCTCGACCACCCGAATCCGATAGTTATAAATCAAAGTCGCGGCCACCGCCTTCACCTGACCAAACGCCACCTCTTTTCCCAAACAAGTCCTCGGCCCAGCATTAAACGCTAGAAACTTATACGACGGCACGTGCCTAACCATCCCCGCCTTCGAAATCCACCTCTCTGGCTTAAACTCCAAGCAATCCTCCCCCCATATACACTCCATTCTCCCCATCGCGTACAAAGAGATCACCACCTTCGTCCCCGGGCCCACACGATGCCCGCTCGGAAGCACGTCGGGCCCCAACGGCTCCTTGTGCTGAAAAGGCACGGGCGGGTAAAGCCTCAACGCCTCGCAAACCGTGCATTGCAAGTACACCAAATCTTTCACCTCCTCGACTCCGAAAACCCGCAATTTATTCCCCCTCTCCCCCGAGGGTGAAATCGTCATTTCGAGCTCGTCCCGGATTCTCTTCTCCACCTCGGGATGCGTCGACACGAGCCACGTGAGCCACGTCAGCGCGGAACTCGTCGTGTCCCGTCCCGCGATCATGAGGTTCAGAACCGTGTCCCTCAAGAACTCGCGGTCCGATTTCAAACCCATGTAACACGTCAGCAAATCCGAACCCATCATCTCTTTCCGTTTCTTAACGATAAATTTGTTTATAACGCTATCCAAAACCCTCCGAGCCTCCGTCAACTTTCTCTCTCCCCCGACACCGACCCGTCTCTGTAGCCTCCAAACCCACTCGGGCACGACATGGCGCATGAAAACCGACACCTCGGCATGATCAAGTGCCTGAGCAAAGGGCAAATCCGGAAAATCGCTCGTTAAACAACCGGGGTCGTGCCCGGCTACCATGACGCAAGTCGTGTCGAATGTGAACCTCTGGAACACGTCCTGAAGGTCGACTTCCCGACTTTCTCGTGAGAACTTCTCGAGAACCGGAATCATTTCTTCCTCTAATTTGTTGAAATTGGTTTTCGCGAGAAAATGGCGGAAGGCCGGGCGGGCGAGGAGGGTACGGGCGAGGCTCCTCTGCTCCTTCCACGGGCCGTGGTCGGAGTTGAATATGCCGTTGCCGAGGATGTCGAAGATCTGGCGGAAGGCGGGGCCCTTGGGGAAGTTCCGGAAGTTTCCGGTGAGGACGTGGTGAACGTTGGCGGGGTCCACCGTGCAGAGCATGGACATGCCGGAGAACGGTGGGCCCCGGAAGCGGAAGGTTCCGCGCTCGGATTTGGCGAAGGTTTCTGTGCAGGCATCGTGAATTTGGCCCACGTTGAGGAGGAGTGACGGCAGCATGCCGAGCACGGGCAACTCCAAAATTGGGCCCTTTGAGTATTTCCAGGCTATGAGGGCTAGGGAACATGCTATTGCCACGAAAACTGAAAGATATATAAATTCGGCCATTTTTTTTTTGATCGAGCAGATAAATTGTGTGTGATTTGTTTATTTTTGCTGTGAGGTTTCTGAACCAGTAAAGGGTTGTATAAAAAGTCAGTAGGCGCACGAATTAGGTGCTGACTGCTGAGGAAAACTTATTGACATAAATGCATGCACTATTTTCATTGGTTCACGCAATACTTAGCTATGATGTACACATACCAATCGCCATATGCTTCATTTTCTTTTGAAACAGCTAAAATTCTATTTGGCTTAGATAGCATTAACATGTTTTTGCATGTAAATGAAACTATATTTTCCCTTCATTAATTAATTTCCACCTTGACTTAGGAGTTCTTTATAAATTTTTCCTTTCATTAGCAGAAAATTAAAGGCCTTTACTCTGGAGTTTATTTATTTAGCAGCTGTATAAATTTGTCCTTTCTTTACCATAAAATTAAAGGCAAGAGATGTTGAGGATTGGAACAAAACTTTCCAACCACTTGAGAATTTATTGAAATTGTATCCATGTTTAAACATCTTGTTTCCAGTTCAAGTATGGGAGTATTTGTGTGAGGGCTTCACAAGTTAACCCTTTATTTGGGTATGACTTTCGGGCCGGTTCAACTTTTATTTCCTTTTCTTTCTACTTTTTCCATGAGTTATGAGCAAAAGATAGGAAAACAATTAAATATGACTCTTTCTCTTTGGGTATGACTTTTTGACCGGTTAATCTCTTGCTTCGGCTATCACACGTATGTATGATGACACGAAAGGAATGAATTATAGGTGAAATTGAATACATCTTCCTTTAAAAGCAATCATAAAAAAAATATATATATGTATATTCATCTCACGTTTTCACTTCGCAATTTTGACTAATATAATTTGTAAATAAAAAAGAACTAGTACAATACCCATGTATTACATGGGTGAATTTATAAATAAAAAAAGAACTAGTACAACACCCATGTATTATATGGGTGGGGGCGGTGCCTCATCCTGGATCGTTCATGAATCGATTCATAAAAGTGGGATCGGTATCCGGACATGTCAAATCCAGGACCGTCCCGAACCGCGCCCACCCCTACCATAAATAATCAACATATTTATAGATAATCCGAACCTAAAAGTTTTTGGATTAGAAGTAAATTAAATCTATCCAACCCTAATAACGAAGGATGTAATTTTGCTACATAGGATCCCGAAGCATGCGAGCCTGCCACATAAGCTCAGCACGTTCTGAATTAATATATAAAGGGGATTGTTCATTATAATAGATTTTTATAAAATCATAAAATAAAAACATTCATCTCACGTTTTCTCTTTCCAATTTTCCTAATATAATTTGTAAATAAAAAAAAAAATTACTCATTATTATAGATTTTTATAAAATTTATTTTTTATATATATAACTACTCTCACATTTATAACTACGAATAATTTTTTACTATTATTTCTATCATACCACTTTATATTATTAAAATAATTAATTTTAATATTT